CCACCTGTGTGTCACCACGTGTGTCCCCACGCGTGTGTCACCACCTGTGTCACCACGTGTGTCCCCACGCGTGTGTCACCACCTGTGTCACCACGTGTGTCCCCACGCGTGTGTCACCACCTGTGTCACCACGTGTGTCCCCACGCGTGTGTCACCACCTGTGTCACCACGTGTGTCCCCACGCGTGTGTCACCACCTGTGTCACCACGTGTGTCCCCACGCGTGTGTCACCACCTGTGTCACCACGTGTGTCCCCACGCGTGTGTCACCACCTGTGTCACCACGTGTGTCCCCACGCGTGTGTCACCACCTGTGTCACCACGTGTGTCACCACGTGTGTGTCACCATGTGTGTGTCACCACGTGTGTGTCACCATGTATGTGTCACCACCTGTGTGTCACCATGTGTGTCACCACCTGTGTGTCACCACGTGTGTGTCACCACGTGTGTGTCACCACCTGTGTGTCACCACGTGTGTGTCACCACGTGTGTGTCACCACCTGTGTGTCACCACCTGTGTGTCACCACGTGTGTGTCACCACGTGTGTGTCACCACCTGTGTGTCACCATGTGTGTGTCACCATGTGTGTGTCACCACGTGTGTGTCACCACCTGTGTGTCACCATGTGTGTGTCACCATGTGTGTGTCACCACGTGTGTCACCACCTGTGTGTCACCACCTGTGTGTCACCACCTGTGTGTCACCACGTGTGTGTCACCACCTGTGTGTCACCACCTGTGTGTCACCACGTGTGTGTCACCACCTGTGTGTCACCACGTGTGTGTCACCACCTGTGTGTCACCACCTGTGTGTCACCACGTGTGTGTCACCATGTGTGTGTCACCATGTGTGTGTCACCACGTGTGTGTCACCATGTATGTGTCACCACCTGTGTGTCACCATGTGTGTCACCACCTGTGTGTCACCACGTGTGTGTCACCACGTGTGTGTCACCACCTGTGTGTCACCACGTGTGTGTCACCACGTGTGTGTCACCACCTGTGTGTCACCACGTGTGTGTCACCACCTGTGTGTCACCACCTGTGTGTCACCACGTGTGTGTCACCACCTGTGTGTCACCACCTGTGTGTCACCACGTGTGTGTCACCACCTGTGTGTCACCACCTGTGTGTCACCACGTGTGTGTCACCACCTGTGTGTCACCACGTGTGTGTCACCACCTGTGTGTCACCACCTGTGTGTCACCACGTGTGTGTCACCATGTGTGTGTCACCATGTGTGTGTCACCACGTGTGTGTCACCATGTATGTGTCACCACCTGTGTGTCACCATGTGTGTCACCACCTGTGTGTCACCACGTGTGTGTCACCACGTGTGTGTCACCACCTGTGTGTCACCACGTGTGTGTCACCACGTGTGTGTCACCACCTGTGTGTCACCACGTGTGTGTCACCACGTGTGTGTCACCACCTGTGTGTCACCACCTGTGTGTCACCACGTGTGTGTCACCACCTGTGTGTCACCACCTGTGTGTCACCACGTGTGTGTCACCATGTGTGTGTCACCACCTGTGTGTCACCACCTGTGTGTCACCACGTGTGTGTCACCACGTGTGTGTCACCATGTGTGTGTCACCACCTGTGTGTCACCATGTGTGTGTCACCACGTGTGCCCCATGAGGCTTCACCCCAGTGATGTCCGTGTGTCCCCACAGTGTCCTTGTGTCCCATGGGGCTTTGTTGATGTCCCTGTGCCCCCTGTGGTGTCCCCTCTGCCCAGTGTCCCTGTCCCCATGTGCCCAGTGTGTCCCCCTGCCCCGTGTGTCCCTGTCCCCACAGTGTCCTTGTGTCCCATGGGGCTTTACTGATGTCCCTGTGTCCCCTGTGGTGTCCCACACAGCCCAGTGTGTCCCTGTCCCCAGGGTGTCCTTGTGCCACACGTGGCCCCGTGTCCTCAGCATTCTTGTGCCCCACATCCTGTCCCCGTGTCCCCACAATGTTCTTGTGCCCCACATCCTGTCCCCGTGTCCCCACAATGTTCTTGTGCCCCACATCCTGTCCCCGTGTCCCCAACCCCTGTGACTTTTGGGAGCCGAGGCGCAGCCCCCCTTCCTCCCGACCCATCCCAGTCCAACCAGTCGAGGATGTGACAAAACCAGTTTAAATAGAAAGGGGGGAGTGGCACAGGGGGGAGTGGGGATCAGGGGGGTCAGTCCTCTCCAGACACCATGTCCATGTTTGTGCCCATGTCCGTGTCCGTGTCCCTGCCCGTGTCTGTGTCTATGTCCGTGTCCCTGTCCTTGTCCATGTCCTTGTCCTTGTCCTTGTCCTTGTCCATGTCCCTGTCCCTGTCCATGTCCGTGTCCGTGTCCGTGTCTGTGTCCTTGTCTTTGTCCTTGTTCTTGTTCTTCTTGTCCTTGTCCTTGTCCTTGCCACCCATGCCCTTGTCCTTGCCCATGTCCTTGTCCTTGTCCTTGCCACCCCTGTCCTTGTCACCCCTGTCCTTGTCACCCTTGCCCATCTCGGTGTCGGTGTCCTTGAAGCAGGGGTTGCCAAGGCCCAGCCCTTTCTGCACCGCGTCCCCCGGCGTGTCCTCGTGCAGCGGCACCCGCAGCCTGGGCCCTGTGGGGACAGTGGGCTCAGTGTGGGGCTGTCCCTGTCCCCAGCGGTGACACAGGGGTCTGTCCCTGTCCCCAGCGGTCACACGGGGGACACGTCCCTGTCCCCAGCGGTGACACGGGGGTCTGTCCCTGTCCCCAGCGGTGACACAGGGGTCTGTCCCTGTCCCCAGCGGTCACACGGGGGACACGTCCCTGTCCCCAGCGGTGACACGGGGGTCTGTCCCTGTCCCCAGCGGTGACACAGGGGTCTGTCCCTGTCCCCAGCGGTCACACGGGGGACACGTCCCTGTCCCCAGCGGTGACACGGGGGTCTGTCCCTGTCCCCAGCGGTGACACAGGGGTCTGTCCCTGTCCCCAGCGGTCACACGGGGAACACGTCCCTGTCCCCAGCAGTGACACAGGGGTCTGTCCCTGTCCCCAGCAGTGACACAGGGGTCTGTCCCTGTCCCCAGAGGTGACACGGGGGTCTGTCCCTGTCCCCAGCGGTGACACGGGGGTCTGTCC